GGGGGGGGGGGGTTGTTTGCAGCCGGACAGGATTACGTAAACACTATCATATGACTAACTTCTTGAAATGTTAACATTCGCAAATCGCAATGTCCAGTTAAATTTTGCGCGGCACAGATCATTCCGTGAACAAGTCATTTAAATTCCGCAGAGTCACTTGATCTCTTCATCCATTCATTGTTATTTACTCATAGTATAATGCGATGGATCTACGATTTTTACGTGCAGGAAGAAAGTGTTGGGTAAATGGCGGAGAGGAGGGGTAAAATGACGCTGAACTCAGTCTCAAGGGATTAAATATTCCATGCTTGATTGGGTTTTCCAATTATTCAATATTCATTAAATTGGTACCTCCCTCAATTAGATCCCTTTAAATGATTCAGCTTCCCTGGACGCGGCAGCTAACACTTGTTTATGATATTTGAGTATTTATTGATCTGGTTTTTAAGCACCAAAGATTGAGAAGGCGAGAAGAACTGGCGTTATATTTTTGCAACTTTTACGGTCCTTACTCAACAGAGTGGAGATAGCTAAGAGTGTTTGAATGCCTAATTAGTTTTAATTGGCACAATACTATGAGGAAATGATCTCCTCGTAACACGTTCTCTCTGGGGTCTTTTGGATCTTTTATCGCAGTTTCCCATTGGTTTCAATACTGCTATATCAGTGGTTATGCCGAAGTACACCAGAGGTAACTGAGAGCTTTTAAAAGCTACAATATACAAGCTATTCCTAATTGTGCAACTATAAGGCAGCTTCAAACTTATTCTGCTTTTCTCTTATCCTAGACATAATCTTTCTGGTCGTCTGGTTAGTTGGAAGCATGGTAATTGGTCTATTTACCCTTTGCACTCTTCGTCTGAGTGATTCCCATCAACATCATTCAGCTGCTCGTCGAGCGAGAATTGTGACAACTGGAAATCCTGTCGATGCCGATCCACCCATCTGGCGGATGGATGAGCTGTGTAACCGCTGGCGACACAGACGACAAATGGGACCTTTTGCTGCCACTTCCTTTTCAGCTTCTTCGGATGAGGTGGAACCGATTGTGTCCAACACAGATGCCTTTGATTCTTTCCCCATAGTGCAGACTCAGGCACCATCAAGTAGACTGAGTGAATCGATTTCACGAGCAATGGCTGTCTGGCCGCCAATTCCCAGTGGGCCTGCGCCGACGTTCACGGGAAGGCAAGTGAAAGACGTCTCCACAATTAATACCTCTAACTATATTGTACTTTTCTAATGTTGAGTGGTTTCTAAGCCGGGATTATAACTGTTTATTTTCATTACTATCGTACCTACTTAACATCCATTTTCCTATTATCATGAGTCTGCATGCTTGTTGGTCATAGGGACAGTGACTCTTTACTTAATTTCATTTTTCTTTCGTTCCAGTCGAAACGAAGTGTTTGGGACAGATCCTGCATTAATTACCCATCCACCCCCAATAGCTCCAATGAGCAGAGCTGAACGACGGGAAGCCAGAGGAAGATGTCGTCCTCCTGATCAATCTTCTACTGAAGGAAGGACCAATTCACCAACAATTGGCCGAAATCGTTCCGAAATTGATGAGAGCCCTATTCCAGCTTCGCCTATGAGAGAACCCCATTCACCGTCTTCTCCCAGCCTAAAGAAAGGATCGAAATCAGACACGAATCAATGCTATTGTAATCACTAAAATATGTGAATATGTGACTGACAATTTTCATGCACTAATTTAGGACTGAGTGGTTGCTATTTTGTAAAACATCTTTATAAAGACTCCTCTTTTGCGCCCGCGCGCGCTTGTGTCCTACAGGCTGGGAAAAATGACCTCCTCAAATCGATTCCCTTCTCATATTTTGAACGTTTCTTCGTAAAATTTTTTTAATTGAATAGTATTATCTCATTTTCGGCAATCTATTGAATATAATGTATGCAAAATAGCTTAGTTTATTTGTAGAAGTCCAACAGCACCGATCGTATATCACCTTTCATCGGTTTCTCGAGGAAAAGTGGTGCTTATTTTTAAGAAATGTTGTTTTCGTTTATGTGTAGACATCGTGGATATGCAATTGCTAGTGACGTGATGTTGCGATGGAAAATTATCGCGAATGCAGGTCTTCAGGGACATCATACACTTGAATCGTTTAGATAAAACCAACCGTAACAAAACTAACCGCTTTCCTAACCGGTTAATGTGTTCGATTCTATCGGAAAGTCCAGAATAATTCTTACTCGACGTTGTCTTCATACATTTTCATTGTTTTAACGAAGTAGTTAGCTTAAATCTCACCTTTTAAAATTAAAATTTCTCTCTTAAGAGGGTTTGTGCCACTACTTAGGATGATGTCAATTATCAGACTTGCGATCTACAACCGTTTATGTAACTCTAACACCCAATCTTCTAGCCATTCGTTCAAACCATTACTTGATTTGTTTTGGATTTTAGGGTTATCAATAAAAGTTTTCAACAGAAATGCTTTTAAAGTCTTCGGCGTATAGATAGCGAAGAGAACGAATTGCTAGGTGTAGAACAGAACAGGGAATCAATGCGATTCTAAAGATCATCCTGTGAATTCAATTCAAAGATCTAGTAGCTGATCGATCAATAATCGGGACCTTGAGGTTACTTAGTTATATTCATTCTTAAGCTATACAGAAAAATGCCTCACTTTGATCTTCTTGCTTGAATTTTCATAGGTTTGAGATGTAAATATTTTAGTTTATATTATTTAAATTGTGATAATACCTGATTTAAAATTAAGTCAAGCTACTATTGCTCTGCATCATATCAATAAGGTGAAAAGGAAGCGAATTATTTCCGAATTCTTTAATAGTGTTGCATTGACTTAGATGATTGATTACTTGTTAGCCTACAGTGGAGTATTGAAAAAGAAGATTTACATAGGATAGAGGAAACTATGGAAACATTTTTTACTGAAATGGAGGTCGTAAAAACATTGACAGAACGTTGGTTTTAATCGAAATTTCAATCGGATAAACAGAGCAATCTAAAGCGGAAATGAAAGAGAAGGCATTCGTGAAAGGAAATTCTAGATATTTTATGGAATCTTATTTAAAATCATTTGACTATGTTTTTTAATAAACATGGACCTTTTAAATCACTTTATATTACAATTTTGGTCTGTTTGTGTTCGTCGTTTTCTCAGTTTCCTTAGGCGTTTCCTTATGCCATTATGAAGGGAATTCTGAAAAAAATTCATGAAAAATATTCCAGAAGTAGAAAAAGTATTAAGAAGTAATTTAATTTTGTCTTAATTTGTTTCTACATAGTATGCGCTTATTATTTCAATGTGGGATCTTGTTGAGTTAGGATAAAATTTTTACAGCAAGTAATGTTTTTCTCTATTGGATTATCGAGTTATTGCATAAGGAGATTTTTATTGTGCTAGAAGCTGCGATTGTCCTTCAAATCAGTAAAAGAGTTCGTCATTACTGATAGAATTGCAATTTAGCTATATTTATGAATACCTTAAGATTGAATTAACCCGTTGTAGTTAAACTTTAGGTTTTTAGAGTTACGTTGCATAGGTGAACAGTTTGTTTGAACATTGGAACCGGCCGAAACTTTAAGTCATACATACAATGTTTTTGGTTATATGAAATTATAAAATCGCAAGGTGGTAATTAATCTGAAGACGTTCACAATAAAGCTGTGCCCGGTTTGGGATAAAACGGGAGGATTTCGCACAATAAAAGAAATAATCTTTGCCAATAATAATTTTGATTCGGATAATTTAAATATTCTTGGCCCTAACATAAAGAACAATGTCGTGTAACATTTACAATTTTATGGATAAACCTTTGAAAGATAACTGATCAAGAGATCGAATATATGTTCTAATGCAATTAAATAAATGCGATCAATAAAGGAAAAATTGAATGTTTACTTCCTAAAAAACGCGATGGTTTCAAAATACTTTAAACCTCCCAAAATGATTTACAATTCTCCTTTTTTATAACACTGAATTTGAAAGTGGAAATCAACATGGGAATTCGGATAAGGAAAGGAGCGAGCACGAAAGCTTCTTAAGATTTCACCAGAACGCGTAACAAATTGGAAAATTCTAACTGTTCCATATTGTTAAGTGTGCAGAAGTACAAAGAAGGAAGAAAAAGGGAATTTTCTAAGGTTTTGAGCCAAAGAATCATTTATAAAAATAACAGACTGCTATTATTTATCCCCATCATTTACTTAGTTTGTTCAGATGAAACAAATCCGTTAGTATGAAATAATACACACTTTTTGTCAAATAAATTTTATTTGAAATACTTCAGAGGCGCTACCCATTTACAGATAAATGTAATGATGTATAAAACTTTGATACTTATGCCATTTACAGAGATTATATTTTGAAAATTAAACTTTTAAATTCTTTGTGTTCGAAATTTTATTTAAAATTGTATCTAGTACAAAATAGATAATACCGTTATAAATCAATGAAGACTAAGTAAAGTTAGGCTAAATACGGCCGTTTAATTTACAAGGTTGTATTGGCCTATGTTGCGTATTTTCTCTTTACCTCTAAAGCCTTGTGCATATGTTCAACGCACTTTTGCCACTATACTGAATAACAAAATTATTTTCACTCCATCCTGCATCAAGGTTTGATTCAGTAATTAAAATACTATCAATGATAATTAGAAACTCAAAGAAATTGGTGAAGAAAATGGTTTACTTCGGGTTATTGTGGATAGTGGTGGTTGCTCTGGCTTTCAGTATAAATACGAAGTAGACACGGCAATTAATAGTGATGACCTGTAAGTTTCGTCTTGTTTCTTACCTTCTAAAGTATTATTGAAAGTTCCGGTGTCCGTGTTGTCGTCGATTCCCAGTCTATGCAATTTATTGAGGGCTCAAAACTCGACTATGAGGAAGAATTGATCCGATCCGGTTTTCGTATTCAAAACAATCCGAAATCTGAGAAGGGCTGTTCATGCGGCTCTTCGTTTGCTTTAAAATTAGATTAAATCTGTAGAATATTTTTTACAAAAATACATTACTGTCCTCTTGCTCTCGATCCGTGTTGTTTTCTCCTTTCCAATTTTTTAACGATAGATATTTCAAGGTTATTTTTATGCAGATGTCTGAAGTGACAAAAGAGTTTGTCATAGTTGATGATATAACTTCGGTCATGAAATCTGGACCTGAAGATGCATCAGATGATATTCCGGATGAGTTATTATTAAGCACTGATGTTATAATGGAAGATTGTGATCAACATGCAGGTTTGAACACAGTTAAATTCTATTGAATTAAACATCTCTCTTATTTTGTTTTATAATCTATACGGACTGTGTGCTTGCTTTTCACTCTAGTGAACCATTTTCTTTTGCAGCCTCCGAGCAAAATTCGCCCACACTATGTCGTCCCGCAGGTTTTAATTTAATTATTTATACTGTTTTGGCCCCATTTTAAAAAATTATATAAATAACTTGTGTTGTTTCCGCAGTTAATTGGTCATCTGTTGGGCGCACTCCTTTTGCCTCAATTGAGAAGGAATACTCACACGATGCTCGTAACATATTCATTAATAACAACTATCTCCGTGGGTGCAAGTGGTGAGTTATTGCGCCATTTTCTTCTTTCTCATTGTCTTTTTTTGTAATTTCTGAAGGTCTCCAGATGGTTCTTGCCTTTTAACTCAAAGTTTTGATAACACTTTTCGTCTTTTCGAATTTGATCAAGCGGATTTTGAAAATGACCTCCTTACCTCAGAACCTGTAAGTTTTATTATTTTCTTCTTATACTCTTTTTTTCAAGACACCCAAGTTGAGAATCGAGGAGAATTTTCCCGTTCTTGATTACTGTTGGTATCCGTTTATGAACTCGAATAATGATCTAACCTGTGTGTGAGTAGAACTTTCGATATCTTCTTCGCCTATTTAGCTTTTTAATGCATCTTTTTTGCTGTTGCAGTTTCATTAGCGCTAGGGAACGATCCTCAATTCGAATGTGGGATTCCATGACAGGGGCTTTGCGTTGCACCTATTTACCCACAAATTTGAATGTACGATCTCTCTTTATGCATTACCGGCTTTCCCTTAGAATGAAGTGGAGGATGTTAAGAGTATTGCCTTCTCTTCCGATGGTTCTTGTATATTTTGTGGATTTAAACGGTTTATCAAGGTGATAAACACTGAGCATCCGACCATTATGCGACGAATACCTAATTGTGGTCGTAAGTAGGCGAATATAATCTTTAAAAACAATTGGTACTTAAATGTTTAAAGTAGCGTGTAAATAATTTTAGAAAAGCCAAAAATGAAAGGCATTATCTCAGCTATTTCAACACCACCCTACAATGAGAGCAGTGGCAGTGGGTTATATGCTCTGGGCACCTTCCATGGAACTGTTAACATATATTCCATGACAGGCGAAAGCGAACCTATCATTGAGTGTGCAAATACGGGATCTCGGGGTGTCTCGCAGTTGAAGTTTCTCTCTGATCGGTTCCTTATTGCTGGTGGTCGAGTCGATGGAATGGTATGTGTATTAAATATTCGTAACCTTTATTGAGTATCCTCATGAGGAATACTGCAGCTACTGAAGTTCTCCTAGGATATAATTCCTTTTTGATGTCATCCACGTCCTGTCCCCTGTGTCCATGTCCTACTGGTATTCTCTGCTTTTATCTACGCCACTAATACCAATACTTACCACTCGGGCAGTTTGATTGTGGAATTCAGTCACTAATATGACACAATGTATGACAAGGGATGTTTTTTAGTAGAAGTATACGAACCGGCGGTGTTTTTTGTGGTATTGACATCTCGAAAATACTGATCTCCATTTGGGAGAAAAAAATCCCTATTTCTACACACAGACATTTTGCTAAGCATCGAATAATCCACTGTTCCTTGATAAACGGGTGTATTTTTGCTTTCAGCTTTAAAAGTTCGCCAGAGTTGGTATAACGAACAAAGCATTGGAGTTATAATTAAATCGTAGCTGTTAATTACTTAAACCTGAGACACCTAGTGAAACATCGGTAAACGTGATTCTGATTTTTTTGAGTACTTGTATATCTAGTTTGAGAAGTATGCACGAATTTCGTTTTTTTCTGCTTATCTTAGTTACGAATTTGCGATTTAGTGGTTGCATAGCTTTAGCGATGAATCTTATCAATGCTCGCTACATGGAAATTGTTGGCGCGTATCTATAAAAGGTGTAAAGTGTCTGTTATCCTTTATCTTTTTTTTCTTTTTGAGATTCGAATGTGGGATTTAGCGGGAACCTCCAAAGAGCCCTGTTTAACCCTCCACAGGCGCGTTGAAAACTATCAACGCTTTCATTTCGACGTTGACTCGTGAGTAAAATAGAGAACTCCAATGTTTTTTTTCGCTATTGCTTAAATTTTTGTGCATAAGCGTTTATTCCCGTTGATGTTCCAGTACAGGCACCTATCTCTTCACGGGTAATCAGACAGGTGCGGTATTTTGTTACAACCTCTCAACCGGGGAGCTGGAATCTGCATGGCGTGGCCATGATGACAGTTGCAATGGAATATCCATCCATCCCTCCAAACCGATCCTCGCTACTGCTGCGGGTCAAAGAAGACCCATAGGAATGCCAGAGGATTCAGAAGAGGTAGATGAAGATGAAATGCCACGGAATTTGACTGATGAAGAAGCTGTGATGATTTGCAAGAATCCTGAAAGTTGGGAGCTGCCTATGAGGAATCAGTTACATCTTCTGCCTATTCGAAAGGAGGTCAAGCTTTGGAAATTTCCTTATGCTCGATTGTGAATTTTTGTACTCAATTTGTAAATAACTTAGTCTTTCTATATTAACATATAAATACTATTTATTGGATAAAAGACTGATATTGATTTATTACCACACCAGATAATATGATTGCCTATCTGATTGATCGTTTGCTCGGCAGAAACTTTTCTAGTGTGCGCTAATATTTCCCCTATTTTAATTTGACCCAATCAAATGCCTATCCATGAAATGTATCTAAGAGTGGTAACCTGCCTTTCATTGCACAGATATGACCTCCAATCTGCCTCAAACACCTCTGCGTTTGTACTTTTACCTAATGCGGAAAGTGCGTCAGTTGCCTGTGGAGACTCGACCTTATTACACCAATTACATACGTCAGGTTTGCGAAGTATTTTCTCAAATTGCCACTTTTTTGCTTAGAATTTTCGACAGCATGCCGATGAGGACGATCCGGAGAACATAAAAATCATGATCGCAACTGCTGTCTCCGACATGGACTGGTTGTTGGCAAAGGTAATTGGGATTTAATCCCCCCCCCCGTCTTTAGATTTTACTTACGACTCCCTTTAGTACTCAAAACGGAGGAATCAGTAGAAGTATCAGGTGATGACGACGTGCACTGCTACTCTTGAAAATAATTTATTGATTGATAAATAATATTGTAGAGCTATTTTTAATTTTGTTAATTGGTCCTATTAGATTTCAATGTTTTTGTTAGGTGTAAGATTATGGGCTTGCGTTAGTTTTGTCTTACCCGAATAGTTTAAGTTTATCTGTGAACCCTCGTGTTTCAAAATCAGAATGACTTCTCCCAACTCGAGAGTAGTACTGGGAGTCAGTTTCCGGAGTGGTCAACGTACAAGATTGCTGAGGGCAGAGGTCACGATGTCTACAATCAGTACGGGATATCTATTGATGTGTGCGTGTGTGGAGGGTGGATGTCAAAATGTGAGTTTCTCATAAGGTTGATCCCAAGGTACCTTTCAATTCAGATTAAGCGTTGATAACGCTATCTTCGGTGGGTTTGGAGATTCTATTTCTGTTCGTTACCATTAAATTATGAGCAGAAAGTAGTTATCGACATGAAACATTAAAAAAGGGGTTTGCAAGTAGGTGAACTTGTACTCAGTGGCTTATTAATCGGATACCTATGATTTTGAAAATAAGGTAACACCTGGTTATATATCCTTCAAAGACCTCATTTTTTCCTCTAAATGATCATTCTGAGAATAGTAATAATATAAGTGGAACGCAACAAGGACAAGTAGATTAAAAGCAGCATATAGCACTATCCTTCCAACCAATCGAAATTTCCCGCAGGTCATCGACTCACAGTGGAATAAAGGCTGTTCGATTAATGGATCCTAAGGCAATTTCGTCGCGAGAGGGTGGGAATAGACAATCGGTAATATAGAACAAATGCAATATTCTACTTTCTTTATCAAAATATATACAAAAAAAAGAAAGAAAGCAAAAAGTCAGACGATTGAAAAATACAAAGGGCAAACACCATCGCGATCAGCCCTCTTCACGAGCAATCAAATCCGCCCTTGCAACACCCTTATTCTTAGGCATCTTCTTTGTGGCCTCCTCAATTTCACTCGCCTTGTAGTAGTGAGGGGCCACTTCTGTCAGCCAACGGGGCTCAATCTCAGTTACCTGACGCATAAACTCTCTTGTAGTGAAGACCAATTCGTGGTAAAGAACCCAACGAGGCTGCTCCTCGGCCAACGCACTGTTTGGATGGGGATGGATTGTGTGCTGGTGTTTCACGGTCTTGTAACCATTTCCAGTAAACCTTGCGGTGTGGTAAAAGAATCCTGCAGTTAGCGCCTAGGAGGAAGGATGGTAAGCAGGTAAAAAGAGTGGAAGAATTTGATGATAGTTGAATAAGAGTAGAGCTCACCTTCCTAATGGCAACGTGGTCGCCTGGGTTGCTGGTGGATGGGATTTCAACTCGCTCTAAGAGAGTGACGAACTGATCGCGAATATCCCTGGCGCGTTTCATGGTTCGGTGTTGGATGAAGTGTTCATAGCACCATTGGGCAGAGAAGTCTAAAAAAATCAAGGATGAAATGTAACCAGCTCTTCCTAATTGTCGTTTGTTAAAATTTATGAGGAATCAATTCCAACCCAAGTGGCTTTAACATTGGCCTAGTTGTTTAAACCTAATGCTCAGTTGCAGGAGAAATATTAAAGTGCAGAGAATATAAGATGAAGAGGAAATTCAAGAGACCCACATACTCCAACAGAAACGATTTTTGGCTGAGTTAGTTAACCAACAGTAAAGACACTTGGAATGATGAATCGCATATTCGAAAAGTGTCATAGTGTTTATGATTAATAATGTGGTTGGAGTTAAGAAAATGGTACAATATCGTCCTCATATTTACATGCTGATAATAACGAAGTTCAAGCTCCACTTCTAATGTGATTTTGAGCTATTTACTAATTACATTTAAGTAGATCGGTAGATGGTTCACCTACCAGCATCAGCCCACTGGTTGTAGACAGTCATAAGGGTGATATGGTCACCAGTGATGTGGCTGAAGGCCTTCCGGGCAGCGTCCGCATGTACCAACTTGTCCTTAGGGCGGTAGAAGATCGCGTTATTCACTGACAACATTGAGGCTATCGTAATCGCCTCTTCTGAACATTTGTACCTGCAAAATGAAAGGGAAGGAGTCGATTTGAATGAAGACGTACAGCCGATCTCGTCGTGAAGTAGAAATATGCAAGGACCGATGAATAGTACTTTAGACGACAAACTTAAACACCCAAATTATTATTATTATTTCAAATGGCAGGCTTTGTGATATTGATCATTAGCCCTTAAACTTTGACTTCAGTTTCCCCCAAGGGTGTGGGGGGGGGGG